AGCTTATTTTAATTTTGTACTTTTTGTTTTCAAAAGAAGCAAAATTGTGTGCGACCAATTTTCGACGCTGGGAAAAAATCATTTTTTTCTATGCGAACGAGAAATTCCTTTTTCCTTATTTTATCTTTTTATCAACTAATATGTTTTTGTAAAAAAAGAATAAAATATACCACAATATGCAACGTGAAAAGTTCTACAATTTACGTAGAACAGTTTATTGAAATAAGAAGAAAGGAATTTTTCATTGGTGTAGAAAAATGATCCTTTCGCAGCGTCGAATATTGGTCCACTGAATTTTGCTTTTTTGGAAAACGAAGAGTACATAATTGAAATAAGCTTTACTTTGTAGATTATAGAGCTTTTCACGCTGCATCTTATGGTACATTTTTTTTTTTACAAAAGCAGATTAGGTGATAAAAATATGTGATAAGATGAGATCAGAAAAAATGATTTTTTCGCAGCCTCGAAAATTGGTCTCACACAATTTTGCTTTTTTTGAAAACAAAAAGTACAGAATTAAAATAAGATTTACTTTGTAAATTGTAGTTCTTTTCACGCTGCATCTCCTGATATATTTTGTTTTTTTAAAACAACGTATTAAGTGATGCAAAAATGAAATGGAAAAAGGCGTTTTTTTTGTCCGAGGGAGAGTAGATGCACGTGGCACTTCTTTTTCATATCGATACATGTTTGAACTTTCAAACAAGTGTTGTGAATAATAACTTGGTACATTTCTCGAAGTCGTAAGTTTGCACCATCATGATACCTCTAGAACAACTTAACAATTAACAGAGACTGAAACATCTAGAATTCGATTGAGAAGGTGTGGATAATCTGTTCAACTAGTTATAAAAATCATACTTTACATACCACACAACGATGCGGTGATATTTGTCCTCTCTAATACACACGACCAATGATACTAATTTCAAAACATATGCTGTAGAAAATGCTTCTCTGTTATCGAATGAGTGAAACAGATAATTGGAGAATAGTGCAGAAAAGGTCAGTTACTGATTGCTGTTAATGGAGTTGTAGATTCTAGTATCATTAAGGATTAAATGGTACATTATCAGTAAATGTATGCACCCATAACAAATATTGCTTTTCATTCAAAATTGAATAATCATGGAAAAAATCAATTCTGCCTCTCATTGATCTATTAGTGTTCTATATGAAACAAAAATTTGAACGACAGTTGTGACAAATTTCGTATCTATCGTTTTTAGATTAAATTTATCATGAATCAATTAAACTCAACAATATCTTCAGTGTCTGATGTACATATGGCCGCAATAATAAATAATGTCATTGTTCAACTCAATCGGTACCCTTCAATTTTTATCTTTCTTTTCGGTTCGATTGGAAATACTCTCAATGTTTTGGTTTTGTCGCAATCATCACTTCGTAAAAATCCATGTGCCGTACTTTTTCTATTCTCATCAGTGGTGAATTTTGTTGCCATTCTTTCCGGTCTCAGTTCCCGAATGTTGTCTGGCTGGGGAGCGGATCTAACAGCAACAAATCGAGGTATTTGCAAGCTTCGGGCTTTTATTGTCAATATTTCAAAATCAGAAACGGTTTTATATATACTTTTTGCTATGATTGATCGATGGTTATTATCAAGTTCTAAACCAAGGTATCGCCAGATGAGCTCATTAAAAAATGCTTATCGAGCTATGCTTATTAGTCTCATTGTGTCTGCTATAGTTTTTTCGCATGTTATCTATTGCCAGGAGCCAAATCGTATTAATGCTCCACAGAAATGCTATGGTATAACAATAGCATGTCAATTCGCGACGGATTTATTATTTATAGCATTTGTTATGTTTCCTTTGCCTTTCATGTTAATTTTTGGCGTGATGACCATCTACAATATTCGTCAATCAAGAAGTCGAATCGCTGCTAAAGATACGTCAATGATAACAAACTCTCTGACAATGAGCATGAATCAACAACGCCAATTGGCCAAACAAAACCATCATCTATTAGTTATGCTTCTCGTGCAAATTCTTATTCTTTTCATATTATCCATCCCATTATGCTTTCAGAGGTTATTCGCAACAATAATGGCTGATAAACCAGCATCTGTATTACAAGTTGCTATTAACAATTTGGTCTTTAATATTGGTCAATTACTTCATTT